GAAGGATCACCACCACAGAGATAATTCATTAATTGCAAAGGGGAAAATGGACCTTTACAAAGGAGAGATCTAGAGATCTCACCTCTCCACGAAGTAACTGACCTTATTATCACTAATAGTGGGACTGCCTGATGTCACGTGCCTTCTTACAGAGTGTTCTTGCTGTTAAAAAGGTTATCTGAATCTAACAGCTCCTCCAGACCAAACTCAGGAAACACAGCAGTCAGTGAAAACAGGTCCAACACCACAAGGAAACACGCCGATAACTCCAGAATATGGGACACTGTACATGACAACAGACCAGGAGTCTTCAAAATGGCAATGTCACTAAAAAAAAAAAGTCTGTGTGTGTGTAGGGGGAGATTCTTCTAGAGTAAAAGTGACTTAAAAACATAACCAAATGCAATGTGTGGACCTTACCAGATCACAATTTTTAAAAACTCCAGCTCTAAGAGACTTGTGACATTTGAGGAAGTATGAATACAGATGGATATTAGATAATATAGTGGAGTTATAAATTTTCTTAGGTGTGATCATGAAACTGTGGTTATGTAGCAGACTGTCCTCACTCTTAGGAGACTCAACTGAAGTTTTTAGGGATAAAGTGCGATGCTGGCTGCAACTTATCTTCAAATGGCTTGGCCAAAAAGACAAATATATATAAAGAGATAAAGCCAATGTGGCAAAATGTGAACAATTTCTCAGATTGGATTTTCTTTAATTCATAGTTTAAAATCTTCAAACAACAAAAACACAAACAAACAAAGCCCTCTAGGCTCAGACGACTTCACTAGCAAATACTACAAAACATTCAAGGAAGTAATAAGACCAATTCCCACAAGCTCTTCCAGAAAATGGAAAAGAAGGCAATTCCTCCCATATTTTATTAAGGTCACACTGGCTTATAATATTTTGTAAATTTCGGGTGTACATTATTATAGTTCAGTTTCTGTACAGACTGCATCATGTTAAAATGTGAACACTTTCTGAATCTAAGTGGAGGGCAGATAGATGTTCACTGTATTATTTTTTCATCTTTTCTGTATGACATTTTTTAAGATAAAAACTGGGATAGGCTGGGGAGATGTGATCCCAGGAAAGGTTGTCCCAACACGAGTGTGTCTGTACAGAACACACAGGGAGGCCAGTTCACCACGTGAGAAAACACCAGGGGCTCTTAGTCGAGGTTAAGGTTTCAAAGCTGGGTGGACTGGTTTATGATGTTTACTTTGGGCCTCAGGAAAAAAGTTATTATTTTTCAATGCCAGCAATGTTCTTGTAAAACACTGACACCTTCTCCCAGCTGGCTAGTCCCTATATCTGTAACATAAAAGGTAGATTTATCCAAGCTCTCAAAATGCTTGTTTTGTTAAAAACTAATTTTGTCTATGCTTCAGCCCAGAACTCTTGTGCATGGTGAAGGAGGCTTGAGTTGGCTTTGCACTCGAACATCTTGAGAGTAAACAGCCCCAAATGCCAACACATACACTGGCCATACTGACCTTTGGCTGACAGCTGGGCCACTGCCCTGCAGTGCACCAGTTTGCTGAGCTCCAGGGCTGCTCAGCTCTGTTCTGCTGTGACTCTAGTCTGAGCGACTTCTTTGAGTCACAGACTATACATAAAGCCACTAAAAACAGAGGAACTGCTCAGCAGGCAGATCATGACAAAGTCCCCTTGCTTTAAAGCGTTTCTTTCTACTCAGACACCCAATACCCCTCAGTGACATCCCAGAAAACCCAGGTGGGAAGTCCCTTTCTATAAGCTTGCCTCTGAGTTTGTTCAACTTTCCTTGCATACAGAAGATACCTTAGGTGGGGCCTCTGGAAAGCACAGCAACTTACCAAGGTGATGCTGACACTGGGACGTGCCTGGGGATGGCAGCCTATAATAGCCGGTATGTTTATGTAGCTTGAAGAGTCAACTACACATGGCACCTGGCACTGAAACTCCTAACTGCCTGGATGGAGACCATCTGAAACCAGCCCCCACAGTGAGCCAAGCACCAAGATGAGAAATCCTTGTGAGAATCAAAATCCTCCCCCGAGATGTTAATATATATGAGATGTCTTCCTCCAAGACAAAACCCTCCAGGTAAAAAACATAGTAACTTGTAAATGGGGAAAAAAAGGTGATTTTCTGGATAGAAAAAGAATACATAAAGACAGTGGTGTGAGAATTCACTGAAATCAGGGATGTGAAATGATGAAAAAGCCCTCACAGCTTGTCTGGCAAGGAAGTGGGTCCATCCTATAGAACAGAGCTGGTCCAACAGGAAAACGGAATAGCACCTGCCCTCAGAACTGGGTAAGTGTCAGAGAGGCACTGAGCCCACTGCCTGGGATACAGAAGCACCCCGAGGGGAAAAGACTGTGACAGCAAAGAGCACAGGGATTGTTAGTCTAAACTGCTCGGCAGAAATGACTGGTATTTAAAATAGGCTTGAAAAGGATAACGATGGAACTGATGAAGGATGGAGTTGCCTCATCTTAACAAACCAAGACCTCCCTCAAGGGCTGCGAGGTGGACACTCTTGCCAAGGGAGCCTAGCACTCTTGACAGCAGCCCTGCCAGACTGAGGAAACAATGCTGGGACTAGGAAGACTAAAAGCCCAAAGCCAACCAGCTTGTAAATGTACTTCCTTGAGACTACCTCCACCCCTTTTCATTGTCCCCAGCAAAGCCCATTCCAAAATGGAAAGGAGCCCCTTAGAGATCTCTTCCCCTTCCTAGCAGTACAAAATGGAAAAGCCCCACAGTTCTATTTCAACAGAACCAAGTATAACAGATAAGAAAGGTACTTCCCTGACTGGGCCCCAGTCAGTGGGATTCTCCTTGGCCTGCCGTCTGCTTCTAGGTGGGGGAATAAGCTCTCGCTCTCATCTCCATTTCTGTGTCCAAAGCAGACACAGCTCTAGCCTTTACAACTCTTCTCCTCATCATTCCTCCTCATCATTGTCCCAGGACCTACTACCCTTTTCCACAAGCTCCCACCATGTCTAGCCTTACACAGAGCAAGAGACCACTTCTAGTCTGGTCTTGGCATACAGAAGGTACCAACCACACTGGGATTTGCATATGCTCACACTCAAGATTAAATAAAGAAGTGAGTGTACCCCTGAAGACTCGCAGGGCCAGCGCCATCGCTCTGAACACATTCAACCCGGCACACTTCTTAGCTGCGAGCAACTCTGCCCTGTCATAATCACACTTCCCTCTCTGAATCACAAACCCTAACAAACCCTAGGGAATAAGTCAGGCCATCAGCATCAATCAAACCCACAAAAACAGCCAGAGCTAGGCTAAGAAATCTTAGGTGAGGGAACAAAATAAAAACCAAGTCTGCAGTTCCTTTAGAGAGAAGGGAAGGCCAGCTGGAGGAGAGAGAAGTGGGAGGGGAGTGAAGACCCACGCACAATGTCTTGAAAACACACACATACAGTTCACGCACCCGAGTCAGCAGCCGATTTTGGCTGAGTTGTCACAAACTATTACTGTGGGAACAAGTGGGCATTTGTTCAGAAGGGAAAGTAGCAAAGCAAGTAAAGGTGAAAAAGGAAAGAATAAGTGGCAAACCTACAGTCGGGCACTTGTTGCCAGACTTATCACAGCCAGGCAACCAGAAGAAAGTAGTGTCCAAGAACAGCTTCTTCAGGGTTACCTAAAGCCCGGGAGATTCACCCAAATAAGCCCCCTGTTACAAACAAGCTAAGCTGCCACTCCAGCAACTGGACCCTACAAGACACCCGCACACAGCTGCAGGATCCCTCCCAGGTGCCGAGGAGCGTATGTTCAGCAGGAACTTCCCACTTTGCCCACGTGAGCACAGTGGGGAAGTTTTGAGAACAAGTTATTTTGGAATTAACATCTCTGTACAGATAGCTATAACCCCTCCTTCCGCTAAAATGCAACACAGGGGCACTCTTAGGCTTACAAGCCAACTGAAGCTTATTGTTACTTTAATAAAGGGAAGGATGTGCACTAAGCAAACAACATAGCTCCCCACCTCATAGCACACATGACAACAGTGGGGAACTTCTAGTTTTTCAGAAGGGCCATCTGAGGCTTTCTTCTCCATCATGAAACTCTCAAGGAAGAGCCCCTGGTGACTTAGCACAGGGATTCTGAGTCCTCCCCACACCCTCTGAGCCTCCTCCATTAAGCCAGTAGGTTGCCCAAGTCTCACGGAAAGCAAAGAAACTGGAAATATAAATAATAAGAGTTGGGAGAGGGAACAGCCAGGGAAGGCTTGAGACACAATGAGGAAAGCTCAGGACAGACGGAACAGGTGAGCCTGTTCAGGAGAAAAGGAGAGGAGAGAGGAGATGTGGGAAGAAGGCAGTCTGCGCGGGTCGTGCTCTGACCGAAACAGAAAATAAAGCTGAGGGAGCCGGTCCTGGGGTGGGGTGTGTGTGTGTAGGGGACGGAGTAGTACTGGGAAGGGAATGCACGACCTAACAATCCAGGTACTGCAAGGTAGCGGGATTTAAACGGGAACAGGAGATAGTAAATCTTTGAGGAGTGAAGGTGCAGAATAAAGCTCAGCATCAGACTGGGTATTTAGGGATGCGGGTTCAAAGTGCGAAGAGGAGGCTAAGAAGACTCTCTAAGAGGGGGCGGAAAGGCGTATGCCACCTGGGGGTCATGGCTCCAGGCTGGAAAGTGGGGTAGCCTTAATTTGCGATGACCAGGTGGCGAGGGGGGGGCAAGTTTAAGGCGGATATCTCACAAGAGAGGTGTGTGTGGGTTCTGGGAGAGAAGCAGGTTGACCCCTGGCTAGAGGCTGCAGCCATAAGGCGAGGGACCCAGGACCCTGGCTCGGGGGCTGGAGCTCCCCTTAGTCTGGGAATGCTCAGCCCAGGCTCGTGGGAAGAAAGCACCTCCGCCAAAGGGCCCGGGTCCCCAGGCCTGAACTCTTGAGGCGGGAGGGTCCCCGAGGCGGGGTTGGGCCCGCGGCTCGTCGGGCAGGGCCTCAGGAAGGGCAGGGGTCCCGGACTCACGCATCAACGTGCTGAAGGCCACGACGCCGAGCAGCCCCTGCAGGAAGATGCCGAAACCCTGCATGAGCGCGCCGCTCTCGCAGCGGCCCGCCCCGGACGCGACGGTGGACGGCGGCCCGCCCGGCAGTCCGCGGCTCGCGTTCCCGGCGGGGCCCTGCATGGCCGGCCTGGCGGACGGGCGAGGGCGCCACGACCCGACCGCCCGGCCTCGCTGCCTGCAGCCGCCGCGCCGCCAAACCCTCGGCCAGTAGTCCAAGCCCGGAGTCCGTACCTCCGCCCGGCGGCCCCGTCGGCGCCGCGCGTAACCCGACGTCTGAGATCTCAGTGTCTGATTGGCCCGGCCCGGCGTGGGGGCGGGCCTCGGCCGCCCGCTCTCCCCCCGCGCGGGCTCCGGCGGGCGAGGGGGCGGGGTCGTGGGTTCGGACTACAGGTAAGACAGACCAGGTGAGCCAGGCTGCGCAGACCAGAGATCGAGGCCCGGCACCCAGCGCGCTCCCGGTCGGGAGGGCAGGAGCGTGGACGGTCTGTGACTAAATTCTTTTTCCTCCAAGATAAATCCCTCATACCCTGCAGAATTTATTAAAAATACTCCTGGATTCCACCCTCAAGATTCTGATTCAGTAATTCTGAGACGGGGCAGAATAATCTGCATTTTCAGCAAGCAGCCTGGATTAGTCTGAAAAGGTGGTTCAGGAAAACAATCCTAGACTCTGCACCCAGGCATATTCCTTTCAATCCAGACGTTCGGCGTCCTTCTACTTTCCTTGTTAGTAGCAATATCCTGGGCAAAGGCTGATCTTAGATTGATCAATCAGGCCCAAGTCCCCTTTTCTTTTTTTTTCTATCCTTAACGTAATTTAAATGGTCATTTCAATCCAATCGCCTCCATTTTGAAAAATACAAGGGTTATAGGGAAAACGTGAACATATCTCCCATCTTGTTCATTTTGAACGTGATTCATAAAGGAAAGCCTAAAATTGTTGGTATTTGCCAGCCTCCCTCCACACATGTGCATTTACTCCTATCTAACCCTTCCTGACTCCTTGGAACCTGTTCCCTACCTCTACCAGGGCCTCTAGTCCCCATTCTCTCATCTACCCTCCCAGCACCTCTTGTTGGTGCTCCAGACCTTCCTGCTGCATCCACTTAATGCCAGTGTACACGTTATTATTCCAGTAGACACTGGGCTACATTTGTGGGACAAGAAATACTATATCTAGGGAAATTTTCCCTAAAAGATAGCCACCAAGCAATTCCAGTTACATAAAAGGGTTAAATACTATACAAAAGCTTTCTTGGTTAACAGGAATACTAACTTGATTATCCAGAGAACAAAAATGCTATTGGCTCCCTAGGGCCAGTTTCCCCAGCCCTTCTCTGACAATGCACTTCCACACCTCTGTGCCTTTATGTGGCATTCTAGCTGCACGGAATACTGTTTCCTCTTCTCTGCTCCATGAACTGCTACTCACGTCAAGGCCTGCCTAGACTTCCCTCTCCCCACTGTGCTTCCCCATTACCTTGCGTGTGCTGCTCCACTAGAACTTTTCAGACTGCTAAATTAGACGGATATACACATCTCGGTCTCAGCTGAGTGTGAGCCACCTGAGGGCAAGAACTGGTTTTTATTCGCCTTTGAATCCAACCTCGTGCCTGGCACAAAGAACATGCAACAAAATGCTTTTTAAATTAAACTGAATTTTAATTTATAAAATTTAAAACTCTCCACAAGTATGGACCAAGGGAAAATACAGACAATCAGGTTAAGAAAATAAATAGGTTAGGGAAAATTGCATTACTGTCTTGGAGTCTAAGAAGTTCTCTTAGGGAGATGCTCAACAGTTACCGTCCATGTTCAGAGCGAACCAAACAAGAGGATGTGTACTTACAGCAAAAGAGATTGTGGTTGGGCATAAGGAGACTATTAATTGCTTGAAAACATAGACAGCTCAAGGAAAGTTGCACATAGAGCTAAAAAGAAGTTTCTGACAAAGCACTGCTCTGCACATCCAGATGCAGAGGAATCCTTAAGGCCCATTGCTGCAGTACCAAGGCAAATGTAGAGGAACAAGAAGCAGTCTTCAGAGATCAGGGGCAGAATCTCCAGTGCCAGGAGCAAGCTCACTGGCTCTTTCTACGCTTCCTGAACTGCAATAACAAAAGCACCTAAATCCAGAAGGGAAAGAATCAGACAACAGGAGAGTGGGGAGAATTCTGGAAATGTTCATTTTATTAAAATAGGAAGGAACTTTCTCCTCCATTGAGAGATGCTTCTCTGGAGCCCCAGTGGAAAAAGTTTTGAAGGATTTACTCTGGCCAAGATGCTTTCTTTGCGGTCAAATGAAGTTAAACATAGTTTAAGACCTGTTTTAATTTTCTCACAACCACTTAAAACTGTCATAATATACCACAAATTCATATACACTCTTATTTACAAAAAAAAAAGCCACACAAAATATTCATCCAAAATAGTTAATTTTTAATCCCTTGAAGTTATACCATCAAACTTGATGGGAGTTATTTAATAGGTATTCTTGTGCATATTTCTCCTTAAGTATACTTTATCCTCAATCCATAACTTTTAAAATTAAGAGAAAAACATCAAGCAGGAAGGATACAATGCAATACGCATTTCATTTTGTTCCAAACAAGCAGCTTAAAAAAAAAAAAAAAGGATAACATACATTAAACAAAGTGCATCAATTCCAACGAGTTTGTATTAGAAAGAGGCCTAAGGACAGTGCTGGAACCAGCCAGAAATCCTGCCCTGGCAGGCCTCTGATTGTCTTTACAGAATATTCAACCAAAAACAGGAAGAAAGGAAGAGGAAAAGAAATGAGCACTTTAAAATCTCGAGAAATATTCAAACTACACTTCCCTAGAGACGTCTTGCAAAAGGAGCTAAGGAATTGCCCAGTTTTAACTTTGTCTAAACTTTGTAACTGCCCTCAATCATTTGCTTTGCCCCAAAAGCCTACCCTCATCCTGTCAACACTATTTGCCCACCTCCATTCTGCCAAGCTAGGCATGTAGTTAGATTGACTAAACCATGTAGAAACCCTTAGGACTGAGTTTCCACACATCCTGACAACAGGCACCCCCATCAGCGTCATTTCACTGGTCAGGATCATCCTTGCCTCCAGAAATAGTTGGAAACCCCTGCCTCCCATGGCTCAGGGTCCGCACTCTACTGCCAGTGTTGAAGACTTGTCCAGCAAGGCTGTGGCTTGTTTCTCTTTTAAAACAGTCCTTTGTGATAGGCCATAGCACTAGGACAGACCCAAACAGCGTGTTAAGTCAGAAAAGATCTAAGGGGAGGGACTTTTAGGACTACTCCATTCCCCCAACTCCCACTCCTGATTTTGCTGGTTCTTGTGAAAATCTAAGACTTCTGAAACACCAGAACCAAGAAAATCAATCTCCAGTGCATTTACTACCTACTACCTTCTATACCTTTACCCCTAAGGCTGCCCTCAGAAACAAGGCTACCTATGCGGTCTGGAACAAGTACAGAGGAAACTCCAAGTGAGCAAGCTTGGGACCTGATCCATTTGGACTGGGCTTTAAGTTTAGAAGTCTTCTGCCAAAACTCCAAGTCCGTAGGTGGCTTATTTGGAGAAATTCAAATTTCCAAAGTACACACATTCTCACATAACAGGTGGGAATCATTAAAATTCACTAGCAAACATTGTAAATAAATTCAAGGAGGAATTATAATTGCATGAAAGTGATTGATTTCTTTTTAGTTTTGCAGGAGGAACTCTGTCCTACAGAGTTTCTGAGCCAGCACCATGACTATGACACATGGTTACTTACAGTTGACCCAGGACCAAAGATATTCAAATTTTAAAAGGGGGTACCTGGTTCCCACCAAGATTTATACTTCATTTGTTAGTGATGTCTTCATCCTCATAAGGCCAACTGATAACACAGAACACTTCTGAACCGACACACACACACACACACACATCCCCAATATACAGGACCAGAGTTCAAACCTAGTGTGTGTTTCCACTGCCAAAGCTAAGCTCCTAATAACTCTCTCAGAGCTTCTGTGGGCATCAATCAAACCAGTAAATGGTGTCTTAAATGTAACAGTCTTTGGTGATAGGTGCCAAGTAAATACGTACCTGTGACAGTTTTCCCAATGTCCCCATCTAGATAAATCTTATCTACTGTTAACAATTCCCTGATGTTCTGTGTGTCCCCCAGAAATGCTTTTTGGCTTGAGAGAGGGGAACGATTCTGAGTCCTACCCTACCTAAGGCCTCCTAAAGCTTTTCATCTGTATTCAGGTACCACATTAGTGACTGATTGGTATAAAAGAGTGAATAAAATGTATTCAAGTCCTCAGGAAGCTTTGGTCCAATGCCCTCTCTCTCACAGTGAGAATAATTTTACTTCCAGGAGAAGAGGCATAGAAAGGCCAAGTTGTGAACTGGTTTTCTATATCTGCCTCTATCATAATTCAATAAATATTTAACAAAAAGCCCATCTCTTCAAGAGGTTGGTAAGTATCCTTCCCGGACCTCATATATCTATAACATAGATGCTGGAAGCCACCCACGTTGCTAAAGAAAGGCAGATAGGTAAAAGCCCCCATTAGTGCATTCCTTGCATTAGCCACTTCAACTCTGCTTCAACTGAGTAGGATCAAGGTACTTCACAAAGGAAAACAGCACAGTTCCCAGAAGCCCACAAAATATAGTCAAAATGTCACAGCAAATCTTCATGTGCAGTAAAAGGGTTCCCTAACACACCAACACAGCAATACTAGGCTAATATGGTCAGTCAACTTCAAGGTTCAGGAGAATGGTCTAGTCCATTCACCTGCTTCCAAGCTTGTCAATTCAAGATCAAAAATGGTTCATGGAAAACTTTCTGACCTCAGGCAGGCTGTGGGACCAGCTGAAGGTAAAATTCAGACAAATGTGGTCCCTTACAACGTACTTCTCATAAATTTAAGAGGTTGGTACCTTTAAAAAACAAAGTTCATCTACCTATGTGCAATATACAAACATTTTACCTCAACATGGTGAGCTACTGTCAGGCTTAAAATCTGTTTCAGAATCAGACTGTCACTACTGTCCAGCCCAGCCCCAGGAGCTTTATGAGGCAAATGGAGTCTCAATTTTATACTTAAAAAAAATACCCTGTGCCAAATTCCCAATTATCCTCTCTTATGTAATATCTGGGAGTAGGGCTGGGGATATACAATTCTTCTTTAATGTAGTTGCCAGATAAACTATATCTTAGGATGAGAATGCAAGAAATATTAAGGGAAACCCAACTTGTTTATTTCGAGTCAGCTTCTCTCTAGGAGAAAGCTGAGCTGGAATAATCATGGTATGGACAGACAAGCTGGTTGGGCCCCTCCTATATCCAGATCAGACTTCTTAGGGCCATGTCTTTCACCTTTCAGGGGCTTTGCCCCCTTCACCTGTGATGGGAGGTGTTCTAAATTCTATGGTTTCTGGAGAAGTCAAAACAGAGACAATATACTCATTGTTTTGTTTTGTTTTTGTGAGGAAGATCAGCCCTGAGCTAACATCCGATGTCAATCCTCCTCTTTTTGCTGAGGAAGATTGGCCCTGGGCTAACGTCCGTGCCTATCTTCCTCTACTTTACACGGGACGCCGCCACAGCACGACTTGACAAGCGGTGCATCGGTGCGCACCCGGGATCCAGGCCTGCGAACCCTGGGCCACCGAAGCAGATCACTAGCACTTTAACCGCTGCGCCACTGAGCCAGCCCCTATATACTCATTGTTGCGTTTGGCAAATTCCCTCTTATAGGAAATAAAACTCATTTTCCTAAATAAGACAACAATGTTAATTAATTCTAGGCTTTTTTTTGGCTCCACTGGTCTTCTTCAAGGAACCCTCTTGGCCTCAGTGCCTTCACTGCTGAGCTCACAGAAAACTTTATTATGCAAGACATACCGCACCCCCCCCAAAAGTCTAGCTACTTAATACTAATTGTTCTCAAGCATCTTATACATGCTTCTATGAGCAGAGAATTCATCAAATTTCTAAAAACTGGATCTCTAAGTTCAAACATATTAACTTTTACTTAAAGGAAGCTTCTTTCCAGGTATATCTGATAGTAACCTAAGCAAAGAGTTGATGTTTTAATGTATGGTTTGGTTGAGGGCTTGAGTTAAGGTGGTTCATATATACCCAATGAAGAGAGGACCCAGACTACAGAATGTTTGCCAATGTCCATAAAAACAACTGGGGGTGGAGGTGGGGAGGAAAAAAATCACAATCAGTTTAAATTTGTAATAATATTACCTTATATTTGTATAGTTGTTTAGAATTTACCCAGTTTGTAATTTTAAAACATTTTCAAATCTTGAAGAAGAATGATTAGGTTATAAATTTTCAGGTGGCTAGGATAATTAAGAAAAATACACTCAGCAAAGCAAATCATTTAAAGGAAGCAATCTATGTACGTGTCTTTGCTCATTCCTCCTGGCTGGAACAGTACAGCAAATGCTACTATTCTACAATAGTTAGCCATGCAATCATAGGTGAAAATCACCTGCAGTTTCATGTCAGCTTCAGCTGGGTCAAAAGACACACCTAAAGGAAAACCAAGTTATTGGTAGGAATCCTCAGACTGTAGATTACACTCAATTTAAAGGTTTAACCAAAGAAAAGTGTAAACGTGACTAGGCAAAGAGGTTTCCAGAATCTTTAACTACCTCTCAATCTTCATTCGCCACTGAGGACACACTGTTACAGAAACTCCATGCTCTGCAGCACTCCTCAAACACTTTTCTCTGTTGTGCTTCTACACTATCTGCCTGGAGACACCGAGAAAAAAGGGAAATGGGCTTTACTGTGGGTCCAAGGAACACCTACAGATTTTTACCCAAAGTGAGGAATCTAGAAATGCAACAGACAAACAACTGTACAGAAAGGTAAACACAAAATAAAAACCACTGAAGTCCCTCTGAAAACTAATGGGGAGAGAGCAATTAAACTGAAATACCAACAATCTTTGAGATACTACTTAGAGCAGAGAGCCCAAGCTGGGCCAAGATGGAAAACAATGACAGTAGAGTTCTTAGATCAGGTCAGTTAAGGAACTGGTGTCAGTGCTCACATAATGTTTTTAAGAAAGCAAACAGTGTTTTTTTTCCTCCAACTTCTGTCATAGTTTTAGTGTTCATGTAGCTTAAAAATGGCATCATACAAAAACCCTCATACATGGCTGTAAGCTCAATTATCAACAGAGGTAGTAAACAAAGGAACTCCTAAGAATAGATTTTAAAATGGATCAAAGTGTGACTGTACATTCAAAACCCTAGAGTCACATAATCATCCCCAAAATGAACTGTTTTAATTTAAAAAATTTTTAAAACACAATGACAATGAAGCACTGATGTGCCTTAGGCATAGTCCCAAATCAGTGCTGACTTAAAGCTATGTCCTCTCTTTCCAAGAAAGAGAAAGCAGAGAACAAAGTTCAATCTACAATGGGAAGGAACAGAACAAAAAGAAAACAACCAAAAGGATGCTTGCCAGCAACCTAGATTATTCTTCGTTTTCAGGCCACACCACTGGAAATGCTTATTCTTCTTATATGAATCTTTTCTTCACAACCTTTATTTTTTAAAAACTGCAATGTGCTGAACAAGAGATGCCCACATTTCCACTGGCAGGAGAGCCACTTCTGTGCAGTTTTTGCTTCCTCAGTATGGGTCCTCCTTCCCTGAAAGTGCAAAGAGAGCAAGCCGACACCTGCAGGGCCCAGAGCCCCAGGACCATTTCAGCTCCATTTGTAGAGCATGGCAAAAGATTTGCTGCATTTGTGCTTCAAAGATACAGCTCACTTTGGTTGTCCTTCTCAGTTGGCAAACTGCTCATAAAAAGCAAACTTGATCCTCTCTATGTGATGACAAAGTTTGATGGCAGGGCCTAATTTTAAGTCCATGCACTCTTGAACGGTGGGAAGGGTAAGGAGCAACAGGGCCTGCCCATCAATTTCCTGTTAAAGCATAAAATACAAATTATCTATGATGTGCACATGAATGGCAGCTTGGTCATGACAGCCCCCATTCTCTTTGGCTTTGTCAAAATCAGAGTCCCTGTGCTTTCATTACTTTTTCCCTTTAAACAAGTATCACATATTTCCTTTTAATTGTCTCTCATAGTCCTACAGACTAATGAATCTTCAGAATTAATAATAAGGTTTTATGAAGGATAAGAATCCACTCTACAGTTTCTGCTCTGCAGAAATTCAGTAAACTAACTAGCCTTGTCACTGGCAACAACATGTACCAAAAGACATCTTTTTAGAGCACACTCTAAATCTGAAAGAAAACATTAACTGTAAACTCCAATGTTTTCCTACTCTGTAACATTCATAAAAGCCTGATAAGATCTTCAAAGATGTTCAGTTTTGAATCTCCCCAACTATCAAAACAAAATTTATTTCAATATTTAAGGCCATAGATATTTCTGTTTCAGAAAACTTGCCTTAAAATAATCACCACTTTAGAGCCTAACAAATTACAGATGTTAATTATTTTTTAAAACAAGCCAATAGGTATTTTGGAAAAGAGGAGGACAATTAAGCAGAGCATGCTTTATTTCAAGCTATTTTAATATTTGGGAGATAGGATCAAATTCTTAAGAAAAATGGAAATGCAATGATAATCTACTTCAAGTATGGAGGAAGTCAGATAAATAACTATCATCTTTCTACTCCTAAAAAGGGAACCAAAATAATTTTTTTCTTTTGCATAGAAATATTTTTCCTAAGACTTGTAAATAAATTGCTATTACATCCATAGTCCTTTGCTAAAGAAACATATTAATAAAAATTAAAGGTGTCTGTGATTACCTGGTCTAGGAATATTCTTGCTAATGGAGCACAGTCGGTGGATCTGATGAACCGCACAACCTCTGCCACACTCCACTTCAGGGGGTTACTGTCCAGGCGAAGCCTTTCAGCAACTTCAATCTTTATTTCCTTCATTCCCCACAACAAAATCAAACCAAATGGTGTAAGAGCTATTTTATTCTAAAAAAAAGTGTCTCTATATAAATTCATAACCCCTCAAGGCAGGATTTAAAGTGGTTTTAGGATATGATTTCTCTCAGCAAAGATGGCAAAGGCCCATACACACTAGATACTCAGGAAATGTTTGTCTTTTATAATAAGAAGTATCAACGGGGAAGAATTTATCTCAAAGTCAGCACAAATAACTTGGACAATTTAACAGAGAAATATAGTTTTTAAATCTCCCGTTTGTTCCTTTTGGTCTATTTCAACTTAATCTCTGGTAGGGTACTAAAGTGAACGGGATGGTATTTCCAACGAGAGAAGGTTTAACTAAATTATCAGGAGAAATCATTTACTGCTTCTGTTCATAGAATATATTTAAAAAGCAAACCAGTTTTAAAACACTAACTTTTTTTTAAATTGAGGTCATATTGGCTTATAACATTGTGTAATTTCAGGTGTACATTATTATATCAGTTTCTGTATAGACTGCATCATGCTCACCATGAATAGTCTAGTTTTTATCTGTCACCATTCACATGTGCCCCTTTACCCCTTTTGCCCTCTCCTCATCCCCTTCCCCTCTGGTAACCACTAATCTGTTCTCTTTATCCATGTGTTAAAACACTAACTTAACTGCCATTCTTGTAGTGTGCATCTATGTTATATAATATGCATATATGTATACATTAAGTATACTAAACAAAATGGCTTAACCAGAATCAAAAGGATAAATAATTTATTTCTATAAAACCATACATTTTATGAAAAATATTAAAAAGGCAGTTTTCCCTTAAATGACAGGCTACAGATAAACTAGCAATGAAACGTTTCTTTTTTTTTTTTTTTTTGGTGAGGAAGATCGGCCCTGAGCTAATATCTGTTGCCGGTCTTCCCCTTTTTGCTTGAGGAAGATTGGCCCTCAGCTAACATCTATGCCAATCCTCCTCTATTTTGTATGGCAGATGCCGCCACAGCATGGCTTGATGAGCAGTGTGTAGGTCCGCTCCTGGGATCTGAACCCCTGAACCCCAGGCCGCCAAAGCAGAGCGCACAAGCTTAACCACTACGCCACTGGGCTGGCCTCTGAAACATTTTTTTACTTAAAACAAGCAGTCATGCTGAGACCTTCCTCCTGATAAGTAGTTGATCTCCAAATAATCCTTGAAACACAAGTAAATCACTGAATTTTGAATCATTTAAAAAGACACCCAGAAAATTCAACTGAAGCCTGTATTGAAATAAATGGAATGCCAACACCTGTTTAATAATTAGATTCTAAATGGAAATTCTAAAGAGAGAGAAAAAAGACACTGTATTTTTAAAATGGGTACCTTTGGTGAAGGAGGTTTATTCTCATCATCAGAAAATGAAAAAGTGTGAAGCTCTCTTTTTCTCCTTTGTCTGTCTGGAGGCAGCGATGTGGATATCTCGCTTTGGGTGGGTGAGGAGGAGCAAGACTTTTTTTCTGACATTTCTGACTCTTCCTGCAGCTCGTCCTGCTGCTCAGATGTACTGTCCTCACTTAGGGAATCATCATCTCCTTCATCTGGGTCATCTTCATCTTCACCCCCACTTCCCTAGAGGAAAAGGAGAGAAGTCTCACTGAAATTCAGGACAAACCAGTTCCTGGGCCACAAAACCATCTTCTATTGGCCAGAGATCTGAATTAGAAAGACCTGCAGGTATTCTTTGTCTATACTGTAAAGCAGTGATCTCTTGGCTTCTGGACATTACAGGTACATCACAGATCTCGTACCTGGGGAGAGCCCGCTGGGGTATTATCAACAGATGCAGAGGAGCGTTTCTTCTTATGAACAAAAACATTTTTCCGCCTCTTTCTCCTCTTACTGGCTTTTTTCAGGGCACATGCTAAGTTACTATGCCCACCAGGTGGCCTCCCAATTCTTTTATTTTTCTTCTTTCCATAATAGTGTGCTGAATGTGAATGACAAAGAAAAATGAAGTAGCTTCATTATTTTTGTGCACCTCAAACCAGAAGAGATTCTACTAGCACAGCAGAAAACAGGTACACTGTATTTTATTAAAGTTTAAATTCTATACAGTAGAATAATCTTAACTGTACAGATCTTAAAGGTACAGTTTGATTAGTACTGACAAATACAAACCTGAATAATCCTCTCCCTATTAAGATACAGAACAACTCCACTAACCTAGAAAGTTCCCAGGGTCCCCTTCCTAGTCAGTCCCCCTCACCATAAGCAACCACTATTCTGATTTCCATCACTATGGGTTAGATCTGCCTCATTTATGGAACCATTCAGTGGGTACATTTTTGTGAAGGTTTCTTTCACTCAGCATAATGTTTCTGTTTCATCCATGCTGTTGTGTGTATGAGAGTCCATTCCTTTATACTGGTGAATAGCATTCCATTGTATGAATACACCAGTTTATCTATTCTCCAGTTGATGGGCATGCGGCCTGTTTCCAGCTTTTGGCTATTATTAAGTTGCAAAGAACATTGTTGTACAAGGCTTTCAGTGGGCATACTTTCATTTTCCTTGGATAACTACCTAGGAATGGAATTGCTAGATCATACAGTAGATGTATGATTAACTTTTAAAGAAACTGCCAGTTTTCCAAAAGGGTTGCATAAACTTACACCCCACCAGCAATACAGGAGAGATCTAGTTGCTCTACAACTTTGCCAACATATGGGATTGTCAAGTCTTTTTCATTTTAGCCAATCTAGTGGATCTGTAGTAATTTCTCATTGTAGTCTAAACTTGCATTTCCCTGACAACTAATGATATTAAGCATGTTTTCACGTGCTTATTGGCCATTTGCATATCTTTTTTTGTGAAGTGTCCATTCAAGTCTTTTATTCATTTTTTAAAACGGTTTTCTCTTTTTAATTTTTTACTGAAACATAATTCACATAACATAAAAGTCATAATTTTAAAGTGTACATATTCAGCAGTTTTTAGTATATTCACTATTTGTGCAACCATCACATTCCAGAACATTTTGTTTCTCTTTTTGTTCTTTTTTAAATTGAGGTAAAATTCACACGACATACAATTAACCATTTAAAAATGTACAATCCAGTGGTATTTAGTGTATTCACAATGTTGTGTAACTACCAGCTTTCTCTAGTTGCAAAACTTCTGTTTTTATTGAGTTGTGGGAGTTTTTAACATATTCTGGAGAGAAGTTCTTTCTTGGATATATGTACTAAGAATATTTTCTCCAAGACTGTGGCTTGTCTTTTCCTTTTTATAAAGGAAAAGCCTTTTTGTTTTTTTTTGATTTGGATATCCAACTGTACCAGTGCCATTTGTTGAAAGAATTTCCTTTCCTCCTTAAAATTCTTTGTCACATTTGTTGAAAATCATTTAACCATGTAAGTTTGGATCTATTTCTGGACCCTCTATTCTGTCCCATCACTCTATTTGAGTATTCCTTCATCATTACCCCACTTTTGATTACTATAGCTTTATGGTAAGACGAAGTCAGATAGAGTAAATCCTCCTCCAACTTTATTCTTCTCTTTCAGGATTGTTTTAGCTATTCTAGATCCTGTGCGTTTTCATACAAATTTTAGAATACAGAGACAACTCGAAACATGAAACATATATTCTAGCTCTGAGTAACATATTAAAGTAGTATCAAAATATAATGTAATTTCCTGCAAGAATGAATTCTAAAGGATAGAAATCCATTTGACATCATTCAAATTACTAACTGGGAAAAATTATAGACTCTCTCCTAAAATTTAGGCTAATTTCAACTATATCATTGTGAAAAATAAATTCAGACAAAAAACCTAATAAAATCCACATTATCTTCCAAAGACTCAAAGTGGTGTACTTATATATGTACTTATACGAACAACATATTTCACTTAGCTACTAATAACTGCAATTTGCTAAACTAAGTGCTGAATTTGACACAATAATAATCGAAGGCAATCCCTGCCCTTAAGGAGTTTACAATCCAATAGTTAAAAATAGAAACTAAAAGTAAGACATATGATTTTGTGATTCAAATACTGATTATAAAGCTCATCATGCTAAATGTGGACCTTGGATCAGCAGCATCAGCTGCATCTGGGAGCTCATTGGAAATACTGACATTAAAGCCTCAGATACCCACAGACCTGATGAATCACAACCTCAACTTTAACAAGATCCTCAGGTGATTTGCACGCATGATAAAGTTTAAGTGGCACAGAATTAGACGCCTGTAAAAGAAATCTTCACATTTAACAAGGTAAAATCCTCCTCTGTATTAATTCTCCCCAGTGACATCAGGGCTTGTAGGATTTAAGGAAAGGTAGGATCATAATTCTGTCTTTGGGTAGCAATGCCTTGACAAGGCACCAAATTGGAAATTTCATCCTGTATGACTTTTTTTTTCTTTTTTTGCAGTTTTACAAAGATGATGATTAACAATGAGAGGGAACACGTGCTGTCATGGTGGTTCAGAGTGAGGTCCACAACTACCCCCTCTCCTATAATCTATGCTTCCCAACCATGCTGGCTTCCTTGCAGCTCCTCACAGATACTAAGCATGAGCCTCCTCATGTGCTCTTGCTGCCCCCCACCCAGCACACTCTCACCCAGGTGTCTGCACAGCTGGCTCTCTTGCTTCCTTCAGGTTGTTACCTGTCAGGAAGACTTCCTCAACCACCTGTGTGAACAGCGCCCCACCTCCTAGCCTTCCTCACTTTCCTACTTTGCTTATCTTGCTTCATTTTTCTCCATAGGACTTATCTCTTTATATTTGTTCACTTATTTCTGTGTCTCTCACATTAAAATGTAAATTCAATGAGGAAAGGGATTTTTTTTTCTTTACGGTTGTATCCCAGCGCTAGAAAAGTGGCAGCACATAGAGTACACATAATAAACACCTGCAGAATGAATTACACATCCTATTAGATGCAATAGCTAACTTATATACATGCTATATACAAAAGTTGGCAAACTAAGGCCTGTGTGCCAAATCTGGCCATGGCCTGTTTTGGTATGGCCCTCAAGTTAAAAATGGCTTTTAAATTTTTTAAAGTGTTCTTTAAAAAATGAAAATAAAAGAAAACAAAAGAGAATATGCAACAGAGATCATATATGATCTACAGCCTAAAATATTTACTATCAGGCCCTTTACAGAAAAAGTTTGTGTACCTCTGCTATAGGTGAACGTCTGCAAAATAAAAACTTTCCAGGATATAAAGTAAGGTCAGTGGATATAGTTTTGAAAATTTGAAAAACATGACTCACTATATTTGGTCTTTGTAAGTACAGAGCAGTTTTCAGAACACTTATCCAGAACCATCCGTGGACCAAAGAGATTAGGACAGCACTCCAGTTTGATACAGGTTTGCCGGCAGAATTCAGTCACCCGATCTGCTGTTTTCACTATCTCAACAGTAGCCCGGTAACTCTTCCCTTTGTATCTGCCATTGGAAGACATCAGACACCAAGTTTACTGGGCTAGTAACTACCCAGAGAAAAATCCTGTATATTAAGAGACCTGAAAAATATTTTTGCTTCTTAGAATATTCTACGTTCTTTATAGTTTGAGGACTCTGAAAACAAGGAGGAGTTTATGCATATTGTACTTTAATCTAGTAAGCTATAACAACTAAAAGCTGAGTTTTTTATTTTTATTTTTTTTAAAGATTTTTATTTATTTATTTATTTTCCCCCCAAAGCCCCAGTGGATAGTTGTATGTCATAGCTGCACATCCTTCTAGTTGCTGTATGTGGGACGCGGCCTCAACACGACCGGAGAAGCGGTGCGTCAGTGCGCGCCCGGGATCCGAACCCGGGCCGCCAGCAGCGGAGCGCGCGCACTTAACCGCTAAGCCACGGGGCCGGCCCAAGCTGAGTTTTTTAAATTAGCAAAATAAGGTTCCTACTTTCTGTTCCTAAGTTTAAAGTTTTCAAATAGTAATTTCTACACTAACTACTAAAAGAAAAGTGACTTTCATTAAGTCTTTCTTTACCCTGGGGCAGTGATCCTCAGAATGTAGTCCATGGACAGTATAACCTGCCAACTGTTACCCCTCCATGATGAGATCAGTTCAGAAAACAAAGATAAATGTTTATAAAGTTTCATAGTAATTTGCAGAACTAATTTTATGGCTCTTAAATCTAATAAAAAAACAGTTTTTGTATTTTATGTCTTTTAAATTTCATATTTCTTGTAACTCATTTTTACCATATTTTATAAAAGTATTGGTCCATGACAGAATGGAAACTTAGAAAACAAACCCAGTCCACAAATAGCTGATGAAGAACTGCCTGAGGGAACATAAATATTCTAATATCATCCACGGAAGAACTGATTCTGTGACCTGTTAAAGACGAATAAGAATAAAGGGCAGAAGAGCCTACTCACTTGGCTTTTAGGACTTCTCCACATCCGTGCCACACAGAGTCTTTGTCCAGCTGCAGCTCCCGAAGGACACGGCTGGGTTTATAGGCTGCATTGATAAGTAAAGTGAGGACCTGCACTCCATTTTTAAAGCAGAAATACGAGTTGAGAAGGAGAAAAACAGACCATTAGAACCTTGCTATCCCTTAGAATGTCATTTAGGACATGAATTCTAATCATATTAATTAACAAACTAATAACACTGAAGATACGACTGCTGACCAAAGTTGTAAATAAGACAGCAACTGGACCCTCTTAAATATTCAAAAGGTTACATAATGTCAGGAAGAAACAGGCACCATGAATTAAAAATTACACTAGCATATGCCTCCAAATCCTTTCCCAATCATGGTACACACAGAAGCTCCGGCCTCCTCAGACCCTGCCTTGCCACCCTACCTGTAACCGAGGGCTGAAAGGTTCAACAGTCCTCACATCTGTTACCCGTAGCACGGAACCCCGGCTGGGAAGCTCTGCAAGTCCAGCAGAAGCGTAGCTTTATCATGGTCCCTGGTTAATGCCACAGCCTCTCAGTCTTAGACTACTCTCACATTCACTCTCGCACAGTTCTCATGTGGTCTCTGACAGAAGACCTTTCTACACTGACAGAGGTGAACCTGCTATGCGAAGAACTGCTTAGGTGAATGTTCCATAGGGAGCAGAAATAATTACATGCCCAGTTCATTGTCCAATACATGAGAAAAGTGAGTCAATTTTGATAAAACCTAGAGTTGTCACATCTATGGCATGTGGATCCTTATATGAATGAGTCTATGAAACTGCTGTGGAATTTCCAAGCTCTTTTGCTCTAGGCCAAGAACCTTACCTCTCTAAGGACCAGGACACAATTCCCAGGTCCTACACACTGAGGCAGCTCAGCAATTCTTCCTTTGTTAAGATACGGCCCTGAGAAGCAACGGTGGTTGAAGTATATCTTTGGACAGCAATATTTTCCATTAATCATAACTGGGAAATGAAGAGAAACAAATATTCAGAACAGAGTCATTTTCCACTCCATGTTTCCAAACTTGGACTACTGGAGAGAAAAAAACAAGCATAACCACCATTATATAAAGTTAGGAATTACATATTTTGAAGCTTAACATGTTGTCTGCGAGTGCCCTTGAAACACCTTACACTTAGAACAACTCTATTATAGAGCTTATCACTGCTGAAATCAAATAACATCCTGAATTACGTGCAGATTAACACCTGGGTTAACGAGACATTGTTCCAGAGCCTTATACTTCTATCAATACAGGAAGTGAAGGATTTACTTCAAGAACCTGCAATGATTCCTGGTGACCAACTATTCAATAACCTCTTCTGGAATATTTCTAGGAAGTGATGGTGAATATTATCTAGAACTATAGTTTGTCCCCTTAAAAGCACCAAACTAGCATGTTGGCAGCTTTCGATGATGTGGGAGCCCTCTCATCTCTGGGGTTGCTCAGAGGGCTGAGAGTACACTGTGACCCCATCTCTAAATGCTTAAGTACTGTGGGGTATAACTGAGCCCAGAGACTCCCTCTCTTCAACTATCTTTCTGCATGAATACTATACTTCAATATAATGTTTTTTTAACCCCCTCACAGTAGTTGGCAATTCAGCTACTGAACGTAAAAAATTCAAAGACACTAAAACATCTTGATTTTCATATAAAGCAGAGAAGCTCTTCTGATGGATGCTGCCCTGCTAATCCAATGTTAAGGAAGGGAGATGTGTGTACACTGCCTACTGTTCATAGGACCCTGAAGTAAATAATGTCCACTCTTTTATAAGAATGCAGTCTTAGCACAGCAGTCAGCATATCTGCACCCACGTCTCCATTTGAACTCAGCCACCCAGATCCCCCTCTTCAGGATTAAGGCATTTAACGCTCCCTGCTGCTGGGAATGTTGGCAGCTTACAGTTCTCAGTTCTAAGTCCATCCTGGAATTACCCTTGGCCAGGGACTGCCCTCAGTAGGAGAGAGCCACCTTGCCCAAGGCCCCACCCTTTGTGAGGTGGAGCGGGAGCAGCAGCCCACTTCTAATAACAGACCAATGAGGGAGTACCAAGTGTGGCCACCACACCTCAATCAGGGATGACTCCCACTGGCTACACCAGCTAAAAGGCTCCCATCCTGGTGGGACTGGAAGAAACTTCTGTTACAACTGCATTGTGGCTCAACTTTTCCCTCTGCCCAATCCTGCTTCCTTTATGCCTCCCAGGAGCTATTCCCAAAAGCACTCCCAAATGAAACTCCTGCATGCAAATATCAGAGTCTCCTACTGTTTCCAAGGTAACCTGACCTATGACAAAACCCAAACCAAAAAGAACTTAGCTGTGGTCATGTGGGAGATATTAATGTCTTAATTCTGTAGTTTCAGTAGGCATTAGAATAGCCAGTAATACAACAAAAATAAGGAGTTATCTTATTTACCTTACCTTTTGATACCAAATCGAAACCACAATGAGATACCACCTCACACCTATTAGAATGGCTATTATCAAAAGGACAAGAAATAACAAACATTGGTGAGGATATGGAGAAAAGGGAACCCTTGTGCAGTGTTGGTGGGAATGTAAACTGGGTACAGCCACTATGGAAAACAGTATGGAGACTCCTCAAAAAATTAAAAAGAGAACTCCATGATCCAGCAATTCCACTTCTGGTATTTATATGAAGGAAACAAAAACACTAACTTGAAAAGATATCTGCACTACTCCCACGTGCTCTATGCAGAATTATTTACAACAGCCAAGACATGGAAGCAACCTAAGTGTCCATCAATGGATGAATGGATAAAGAAAATGTAGCATATGTATATACAATGGAATATTATTCAGCCATTAAAAAAAACTTGCCATTTGTGACAACATGGATGGACCCTGAGGTCATTATGTTAAGTGAAATAAGTCAGCTAGGGAAAGACAAATATCATATGATCTCACTTACATGTGGAATCTAAAAAAAAAAACAAAAAACCCCAACTCATAGATTCAGAGAACAGACTGGTGGTTGCCAGAGGCCGGGTGGTGGGGCAGAGGGGATGGATGAACATAATCAAAAGGTACAAACATCCAGTTATAAAATAAGTCCTGAGGGTGTAATGTACAGCATGGTGACTATAGTTAATAATACTGTATTACATATTTGAAAGTTGCTAGGAGAGTGGATCTTAAAAGCTCTCATCACAAGAAAAAAAAATTTGTAACTATATGTGGTGATGGTGCTAACTAGACTTATTGTGATCATTTTGCAACATATACAAATATCAAATTATTATGTTGTATACCTGAAATTAATATAATGTCATATGTCAATTTAAAAAAAATAGGTAGTTAAAAAAAAAGATGTTTATTAATACTATTCTGCTGGGTATTCAAAAGATACCATTATGGTCAAGTAAGTGTTACCCCAGAAATGCAAGGATGATTCAACATTAGCAAAATCTCTCAGTGAAATTCACCACATTAATAAGCTTAAAGAAAAAAATCATATCATCATCCAACACTGAAGAAAAATTATTTCGTAAATATGAACATGTGTTTATGACCAAGGTTCTTAGAAAACTAGAAACACAAGGGAATTTCTTTAGCAGTTATATGCTAGTCATGTATTTAATACAGAAAGTTGAAATATCTTCCCTTTAATATCATGAACAAAACAACAGTGCCAATATCACTACACCTGTTAAACATAGGGAAAATTTCTATAAAGGGCTATAAGGAAATAAAAAATAAGTACAGTAAACTTATTATAATAAAAGGAATTATTTTTTAAAAATGAGTTACATAGACCTGATCCTCTATGTATAAGTGATATAATAAAAAGTGGGTAGAAGAGACGAAAGTGTAGGTTCTGAACTTGAGAAAGATTTGAGTTCCATTTCTGACCCTTCTACTCATAAGCTGTGTGACCTCTGCAAGTTTGATTTCTTTTCTTTTCTAGACATTTACTAAATACCATCCAAATGCCTAATCTGTGCTAGAATATACACACATTCTACAACCAGCAAAGTGGGAGTCAAGAGTAGTTCCAGGGAGAGACTCCTACGTAAAAGGCTTGGATCCTTCTCTCATTTATCGGGCATTGCCTCTGGGACAATCTGTTTTTCCAGTGCTTTATTTTTTTAATTGTGAAATATATATAGTGTGTGTGTATCATAAAAAGGATTTAAAGAACAATAAACGTCCACCTCTCAACCATCCAGCTTAAGAAAGAGGGCTGGCTAGAAAGCCTCTGGTTCTTCATCTTAACTCAGGGATGATAATATTGATGTCCAGAGCCTTTGGCACCCAGCAAGTGATCAGTAAAAAATAGCTATAATTATTATAAATGGACAGAAATAGGGGCCAGCCCTGTGGTGCAATGGTTAAGTTTGGCGCGTTCTGCATCAGCGGCCCAGGTTCGGATCCTGGGCAGGGACCTACACCTCTCGTCAGCCACGTTGTGGCAGCGACCCACATATAAAGTAGAGGAAGACTGGCACAGATGTTAGCTCAGGGCTAATCTTCCTCAAGAAAAAAAAGGAGGAAGATTGGCAACAGATGTTAGCTCAGGGCTAATCTTTCTTACCAAAAAAAAAAAAAGAAATGGACAGAAATAACAGCCAGAGATAATTCAACTAAATATATCTTAGACAATTACAGTTCTTTAAAATCACAATTAAGAGACCTCTCTATGAAGCTATGTCCTATAAATCAAATGTATTGTTTCAGTTATTTTTAGATCTAGCCCATTAAAAGAAACTAAAGGTCCTCTTTTCCATAAGACTGCATGCACTCATACCTGAGTCTGTGGAGTTCAGCTCCTGATTCTTCACGCCCTCGTGGACAGTCCTTGAAGATGGTATTCTGGGTCAACAAAACACAACAAAATAGTGAGATAATCTGTAAGGTCAGTAAAGTGTGAGGGTTACTTTCCTTCAAATCTAAGAAGAAAGCAAATGTGGCAGACTGCAAAATTTATAATGGAAGGTGCCTCCTTGATCATTTTTTTTAACAGCAATTGTTTTTAAAAGTATGGTCTACCATACAATGGTCTACATGGTCTACCAAGCCATCAGACTGTTGGCAGACAGTGCGGTGATACTGCAGGCTCCAATCAACCTTCTTTCATTCATGTGAGCAACAAATTATAGCATTCCTTCTGGGATTCTTCAACCACAAGTAAACTGTTCATTTCTTTAATAGTCAAAGAACAGAAACATTTCTTACATAGGGTCTTTTTTCTTCTATCAGTTTTAAAATTAAAGACAAATTACGTAATAGAAAAAACAGAGAATTATCCTATATGCAGCAATCACTGGAAAAAGCTAATTTATTCTTTTAGACTACGTCCTGACTAAAACTTTGCATCAGTCTTGACAACTAAGTCAGGGAAAGATCCAAGGCCAGATGTTTGTCATTGCTCTCCCACCTTCTCTACCTGGGACAGAAGTCTATGGCCTTTCTCTCCACTTCTATTGTCTGTTTTATTACTCAGCCACAAAAACAGCTATAAATTATACAGAATTTGCTATAGACTGAATTATGTTCCTTTAAAATTCATATGTTAAGGCCCTAACTCCCAATGTGACTGTGTTTTGAGACACGGCTTTTAGGAAGTAAATAAGGCTAGGGCTCTAATCTAATAAGATTGGCGACCTTATAAGAAGAGAAAGAGAGGAAGACCTCTCCTCCTCCCCATCCTCACCATGTGAGGACACTCGTGAAGATGGCAGTCTGCGGGCCAGGAAGAGAGCCCTGACCAGAAACCAGATTGGGCTGGTACCTTGATCTTGAACTTCCTAGCCTACAGAATTGGGAGAAAATAAATTTCTGTTGTTTAAGCTACCCAGTCACTGATATTTTGTTATGGTAGCCTGAGCAAACTAGTATAGAATTGAAAACCCAATGTTGAAAAAAACACACGTACACACAGAAACTCTTGTATCTTTAAGGTGCCACTAATTAATCACTTCTCAAAAGCTGTATATGAAGGTATGCTGCAAAGGGTTTCTTGATGGGACACAAGAATGCCTTTTCTTTTAGACTTGTTGCCTTCTACTTCAGATTTTTTTTCACTGTAACAAATCACATCCTAATTTACAATTTTTGCTCTTCCTTAACAAATAACAGCATAGAGACTATTTCTTCTCTTATTCAAATGCCTTTTCAGGCTCTAAAAGCCAAAGAAAACTCAATTTGGGGAACATCTTGAGAATGCATTTTACTCTTCTGCATATAATGCCATTTTAGAAAATGCCTAAGGAAAGTATGTAAACTATCAAAAGCTGAATTAAAGGATTATGCACTTTCTTCTGAGAAAATAACATATTGAGGAGATATACTTTCTAAAACAGTTCTTTCTTTTTCTAGATATTATAACTTTCAAATGTCAACTGTTCAACATACTATTATCTTACTTACTGTTTTTCTGGTTGAACCACTGCAATTTTCCTCTGTTTGTACACTGTAAGAAGAAAACAAAAATACAAATACAAAGAAAAAGATGAAAAAGTTATATATGTATTAAGCTAACATTAGCATATTTAAAACCCTGTTCTGTATATATTTAACTAGCACGTACTACAAATAAGTGCTGATATGTCTGAATATCTAGAGTAAAGCACATTTTCTGGGTAGGAGTCTTTATACAAAGACCAAAAATAATATTTTCAAGGTTCCCTGGGTCAATTCAACTCCTACAAATATTTTCTAAGCAGAAACAGATATTCAAAAGAAAAACTGATTTTAACAGAGGGACCAAGACCATTCAATGGGGAAAGTACAGTCTTCTTAACAAATAGTGCTGGGAAAACTGAATATCCACATTAATGAAGGTGGACCTTTACTTTACACCATATACAAAAATTAACTCAAAATAAATCAAAGACCTAAACATAAGAGCTAAAACAATAAAACTGTTAGGGGAAGACAACATAGGGGAAAATCTTTATGACACTGGATTTGGCAACGATTTCTTGGATATGACTCCAAAAGCACAGGCATCAAAAGAAAAAATAAATTGGACTACATAAAAAAAACAAAAACTATTATGCATCAAAGGACACTATCAAGAGATAGAAAAGGCAACCCACAGAATGGGAAAAATATTTGCAAATCACATATCTGATAAGGGATTAATATCTAGAATATATAATGAAATCCTACAACTCAACAACAAAAAAAAACTCCAATTAAAAAAACAGGCCAAGGACTTGAATAGACATTTCTCCAAACAAGATATACTAATGGTCAATAAGCACATAAAAAGATGCTCAATACAACTATCATTAGGGAAATGAAAATCAAGACCACAGTAAGATACCACCCCGCACCCACCAGGATGGCTATTACCCCAAAAAATAACCCTCTAAAAAATAAACAACAACAAAAAACAGAAAATAACAAGTGTTGGGAAGAATGTGAAGAAAGTGGAACTCTCATACATTGCTGGTGGGATGTAAAATGGCGCAGCTGGAAAACAGCCTGGCAGTCCCTCAAAGTGTTAAACATAGAGTTATATACTCAAGAAAAATAAAAACATACGTCCACATAAAAACCTGTACACAAATGTTCACAGAAGCATTATTCATAATAGCTACAGAATGGAAACAATCCAAATGTCCATCAACCGATGCATGGATAAACAAAATGTGGTATATCCATACAATGGGATATTATTCAGAAATATAAAGGAATGAAGTATTCATACTTGCTACGACATGGCTGAACTTTGAAAACATTACACTAAGTAAAAGAAGCCAGTCACAAAAGATCACATATTGTATGATTCTCTTTATAGGAAATGTCCAGAACAGGTAAATTCATAGATGGAAAGTAGATTAGTGGTTGCCTAGGGCTGAGGGGCAGGAGGTGGAGAGGTGATTCCTAAGGGGTACGGGGTGTCTTTCTGAGATGATGAAAATTTTCTCAAACTGACTGTGGTGATAGTTGCACAACTCTGTGAATATGCTAAAAACCACTGAACTGTATACTTTAAAAGAGTAAATTTAATGTTACATAAATGATATCTCAATAAAGCTATTTTTAAAATGGGGGAGGTGAGTTGTCACTTTTAAGATTAGGTTACAAAAACACTCTAATATCCATCTTGCTTAACCTCTCTTACTCTCTCCTTTCCTGGACCTGATGGAAACCAACTACTATGCTGTGAGCTCCCCTATGAAGAGACCCACATGGCAAGGAACTGAGGCCCTCAGTCCAACAGCCTACGAGGAAATGAATTCTTGCCAACAATCATCTGAGCCACTCGGGGAGCAGATCCGCCCCCAGTGGGGCCTTGAGATGACTAGAGCCCTGGCTTAACCTGGACTGCAGCCTGTGAGACACTCGGATCTAGAGGACCCAGCTAAGTCATGCCCAGATTCCTGACCCACAGAAACAGTAAAATAATAAACGTTTGTTGCAATACGTGATTTTCTACGTTGGAAAAGATAACGAGAACACCATTTTGTTTTTCTCTGAAATGTCCAGATTCACCCTAATTGGTAACAGCCACATGACAGATTATTTAACAATCAAACCTTTGACACAGAAATAGACAGCTACCTCGTGCTCGGCGAGGAGTGCTGAGGGGATAGCCATTGGTTTCACACCAGCCCAAAGGAAATATATCCATGGATTCAACACTCACAATATACTCAGGTATGGGCTTCTTAGAACCTGTTTAGATTTAAAAAAAGTTTTAGACCATTAAATAGCCTTCTTCATAAACTACTTCCTAGACAATGTTCTACTGTTGCAATAATACAAACACAAATCTCTTAAGAAAGTTCCTTTTACACAGAAGTCAGACTTTTTCATGTGTGACAAACATTAAGAAGAAAAACTAAACTGTTCTCCTTGCATAACTGTATAAAGACCAAAACAGGTAGCAAATACACAGGGTGACCCTTAGTTATGGAATAGCAAATAAGCAACTGGGACTACCAGTTTTTTTGTCAGATGGTTGACAAATATAGTCAATTCCATGAAATAATTGGAAAGCAAAGGCAAAAATGACAGTTCTACTCAATGAGAACATTAGTTCTGGTACTCAGGAACCAGCTGGAAGGTAGTCCAGTGAATTCCAATCAGGAAGTGATGTTGGCAAGTGGCTCAGCAGGGGTTGTGTAAAAATCTATATTCAATACTGTCCTTGACATCTGCATTAAATGCCAATTCTACGAACTGGGAACAGCAGGTACCGAGTCTGACCATTTGGCAGCCAGGCCATATACAGTAACTGCAGCACTGAGTACTCACATAGTGCTTACCGTCCACAAACCTGTCCAATCACTGAACATTACTTCTAGTATATCTTTTCCATTTAACATATTTTTTGGTTCTATTGGTTGGGGGCAACCAAATTCAAAATATTATGTCTTGAATAAGCTGGGTGTTAATGCTCATGGCTCAAATATTTTGGTCACAACAAAATATATGCTATTTGACTCATACTTTCCCCTTCAAGAAAACAGGGGACTCTGTAATGAAGGCTTTTTATTCATATCGATTTCCTGAAATTTGATAGTCAAGGACAGAAAGATAAATTTTTAGCTTAGAATCTTGCATTACCAATTAGAAGTCTCTGAACAAGACCCCTATTTAGCTAATCGATTAAGTTTTACAAGCCACATTGCAGGGGTAAACATGAAAGGCACAGAATGCTCCTCGGGGGTACTGACACTTACCCTCCAGCTGGAGCCACAGGTAGGAGCCTCTCACTGCAGTAATGGTGGCAACACACACTTCTTCAGGGAGAAGAGGGTTCACTGCCTCAAGCTTCATGTGCTCCTTAAATTCATGCTCAAAAACTGACTAGAAAATAAATGAATCACATCTAAATACATACTCAGTATTAACTCATGTGCTCATTTGAGAGACTTTTTCCAAGTAATATTTAATCCTAGAGTAACGCTTTAAAGCTATAAACTTATTTTGCTTTGTTTCTTAATGAAGCAAAGGAAAATGTCTCTCTTGGTGTTATAGGCAGTATGGTCTCTGAGGTCAGATATACCTGAATTACTGCTACCCGGGTGACCTTGCTCAAACTGTGTAACCTCTTTTTGTCTCAGGTTCCTCACCTTTCAGGTGATGTTGAGAACACCTATCTCACTGGGTTATTATAAGGTTTCAATAAAATAAAGTACCTAAGGCTCTGTGCCCTGAACCAAGGGCTTACAACCACTGCTGGTTCACTTCTCCTCCTATAAAGGGCCCTATCACACAATAACTGCCTGGTTCCTGCTTCTATGTGTATCCTAAAAGGCAATCAGGATAAATAATGCTTATGAATAAGGGGAGAGGGTTGTTTAAAAGACATGTTTTTAAAATTTGCAGCTTTGGGGTCAAAATGGAGAACTGAACTTCTGTATTTGATTGTTCTCTCTCCTTTCTGACAACCCACAAACTAAAGTGTTGTTTTTTCAGACACAAACCTACTAGGATGGATATAACAGGACAAGAGACAATGACAACACTTTATAAGCTAAAATTTAGAATAGCGTCTAGAACTAATTTAGCAGATTAAAGAAAGGTAAATGAATCTAGGCTGACAGTGAAGCAAGCTAAGAACTGGCAGCACCAAGTACTGGACAACTGGAAGTGGAGAAACAGTCAAAATAAAAAGATTTGTTGAAAACATTTAAGAAGCAGCTAGGTCATGCCATCGGATCCTCCACTCCACAGTGCAAGGCAACTGTCCCTCCCCCTCCCCTTCAGAAGATGAGATTTATCCTCTAGAGAGGGTAAAACACAGATCCCCTGGGCAGGAGGACCCAGAAACTGTTGAGGGCATGCAGGCAGTGCCCAGAAGAGGGGTTAGCATATGGCATGCTGAGAGGTCCAGCCCTTGCCTCTACCCTCCAGGTAAGGGACTGGAAGAGACTTCTTGTGGTAATATGACAAGCCCAAAGAGAAACACATAAAAATATGGATTCAGGTGTTGCCAACAAATGGCCAGCCAGGTGCCACCCTATAGGGCAGTTCAAGGTTGACAAGCCTCACCCATATACTCAAGAGCTTCCAAACAGCTTTTTCTTTTAGTCCCCCATTCTTCTTATTTTTTTTTAATTTTTATTTATTTATTTTTTCCCCCAAAGCCCCAGTAGATAGTTGTATGTCATAGCTGCACATCCTTCTAGCTGCTGTACGTGGGACGTGGCCTCAGCATGGCCAGAGAAGCGGTGCATCGGTGCGTGCCTGGGATCCAAACCCGGGCCGCCAGTAGCCGAGCGCGCGTACCCAACTGCTAAGCCACGGGGCCGGGCCCCCCCCCATTCTTAAATATAAGCAAATAACCAAGAATTACCAGATATCTAAAGATAGGAAAGCTATAGACCAAAATAGACAAAACAAGCAAGCTGGAGAAAACACACTATGCAAGAAGAAAAATTCCTAAAAGCAGGGGTAATTAACATCCTGGGTGATAAGAAAAACTATTGCATCCTTAAAACAAGAATAGTATGTTATTGAAAATAAATAGAGAACAGAAATAGTTCTGGAAAATCAAAAACATGATATTAAAATCAAAAGAAGGGTTGAAAGATAAAGTTTAGGAAATCTTCCTACAAGCAAAGCAAAAAGACGAACAAACAGAAAACAGGAGAAAAAAGGTAAGAAAAGTAGAGGTCTGATCCAGAGGGCCAACATACAAATAAAAGGAATTCCAGAGAAAGAGAAGAGAGAAAATGGAAGGAAGGAAATCAAAGAAGAGATTCAAGGGATCTTCCCAGCACAGAGAGGCACAAGTGTCCAAACAGAGCACACCCACTGAGCACCCAGCACGTGGATGAAGACAGGCTACACCACGGCTTGTCACTGTGAAACATGATGACAGAGATTCTGTAACCTTCCAGGGAGGGAGTAAAAGGCAAGTCATCTATGAAAGATCAAGAACAAGAATGGTTTTCAACTTCTTAACAGCAACATTGGAAGGCAGAAAACAACTGAATAATGTTTTCAAAATTCTCAAGTAAAATCACTTCCAACCTAAAATTCCACATTGAGCCAAACTATCAATCAAGTTAATAGAATGAAGATATTTTCAAACATGCAAAGTCTACAAAAATTTACCTCCCTAGCATCCCATTTCAGGAAGCTATTGAAAGACAGGCTCCATCAAAACAAAGGAATAAACCAAAAAAGAGGATGCCATGAGATATATAAAAGAGGAACCCCAAATCTGAAGAAAGGGGAAAGTCAACTCCTTGAGTGACAATCAAGGGCCATTTCCAGGATTAAAACTACGCAGCAAGCCTAGAGAGCAATGTGTCTAGGTAGAGAGAGAATGGAGGCTGCTAAGATGGATTTGTCTCTAAGAAAAATATTAGAAATGAAAAGTTCCTACATCAGGGTATCTGAGTGGCCATGGATGTGAGGAAAAGAAAACATGGCTAGGGCACATCTTGTATTTTAACCCTTCTACCCTAAAATACAAAGAAATAACTTAAACTAGAAAAAAAATCTACACAGGTCTAGTCGAATCAAAGAGACTTCTGGGAAATGCTACAGGGATTCATTTGGCTCCAAACATGGGACTACGATTCAGGCACAGGGGCACTGGTGCTTCTTTTCTCCATAATCATATTACTCAGGGCCCATCTTCAAAGTGGATTCTGCCAGAGCATCATGTGCTAATGGCAGAACTTCAGACACCTGCAGAAGTGGCTGGTTGCAGAGACTTTTCCTGGGCACCGCCCCCCCCCCCCCCC